GGGCCAAGAGAGTCCCTTCTCAGGGTGGTGGCAGCTTACGTTACCCCAGGCTAGAGAGTGTGCTCCAGGGAGGGAGTCAGCCGGCCGCGAGGCACCCCTAAGGAGGCACTTGGAGCCAGGAAGGTGGTTGGGCACAGGGAGGTGGGCGGCTCAACGCAGGAGTGCCCCCTACTGGCCCACCACAGTCCCCATAGCAGAGCACAGGCATCACTGCACCCACACAGTCCCTGCCCACCCTCTCTGTGATGCCTCCAGCCACAGAGTCCCCCCATCCCAGTGTCTGTCCCATGGCTTCCCGGCTCCGGCAGCAATGGCGTTTTCCAGATCTCCAACCTAAACCCGCTTTGCTGCAACTTCAGCCCATTGCATCTCGAGCAGGTCCAAAGAGGTGATCCTCCCCCTCTATGTGACACTGGTCAGGCCGCAGCTGGAGTACTGCATCCAGTTCTGGGCGCCGCACTTCAAGAGGGATGTGGACAGCATGGAGAGGGTCCAGAGGAGGCCACTTGCATGATCAGGGGACAGCAGGGCAGGCCCTACGAGGAGAGGCGATGGGACCTGAACGTGTTCAGCCTCCACAAGAGAAGGCTGAGGGGGATCTCATGGCCTGATATAAACTGGTTAGGGGGGATCAGCAGGCATTGGGGGAGTCCCTGTTCCCCCGAGCACCGCCAGGAGTGACCAGGAATAATGGTCACAAGCTGGCAGAGGGTAGGTTTAGGTTAGATATCAGGAGGCGCGATTTCACGGTCAGGGTGGCTAGGGTCTGGAGCCAACTTCCAAGAGAAGCGATGCTGGCTCCTACCCTGGGGGTTTTTAAGAGGAGGTTAGATGAACACCTTGCTGGGGTTGTTTGACCCCAGTACTCTTTCCTGCCATGGCAGGGGGTCGGACTAGATGGTCTATTCGGGTCCCTTCTGACCCTAGAAACTATGAAACTATGGTGCACGTCCTCTCGGCAGCAAGAGAGAAGCGCTGCTTCCCCTCTTCTCTCCGGCAGCCCTCCAGCGTTTGCAGGCTGCTCTCGTAGCCCCTTGTCAGCCCCTCATCCATCAGCATGGACATGCCCCGCTCCTGCAGCCCCCATGCCCCAGAGCATCCTTGTTGCTGCGTCTGGCCCCTCTCGAATGTCTCCACGTCCTTCGCAAACCGTGGAGCGCAGACCCGCACGCAGTATCCAGATGAGGCCGACCCAGTGCTGAACCAAGGCACCACCACCTCCCCTGTCTTGCACCTAATGCTGCTATGGATGAGGCCCAAAACCACGCTGGCCTTGTGTATGGCTGCCCTGTTGCCCCACAGGGCTGGATTAACCACCCCCGTGTACACAGGGCAGGTTCATTGTGCCCATTACACAGGTGGGAAGACCGAGGCTTGGAGCAAGGGAAGGCTTGAGCCGGGTCAGGCGAAAAACCCAGGCGTCCTGGCTCCTCCCCCCGCCCAATCCGGCTGCTTGCTATTGCACGACCGCGGCACACCTAACGAGCGACTTATTTCACGGTGGGGGGACGAATATTACCGTCGCACTAAGGGGGCCGGAAGTGCCTTCGGGAGACGCATTTCGCGGACGGACCGACCGCTGTCTTGCTGGCTCCGTCCTTCCGGCGCATAAAGGAAGTGTTGCCGGGGGGCACGTTGCTCTGACGCACTCGCGCGGGAGTCGCTCTGCGCGCCGTCTCGTTGGTCGCAAGTGCCCGGCGGCGGCGGTGATGCTGGCTCGGAGGGCGCTCGGGGCCGGGCGGCTTCTGCTGAGGGTGAGGGG